TCTTCCCAGTTCGATCCAAGTTACCAATGCAAACTTCTAGCCACCTTTTAAACCCAGATTTGAAGCCGTCTTGTGACCGAATTTGAAATCATGGTCCTCAGTAGAGCTCATTTCGATGCACGCCACGGCCCATGTGGGTGGGACTCCCCCAAGCTGATGTGTGCTTTATACACATCGGGACATGGCCCACCCATCCCACGCTTGACCCGGTCTCTCCAGGCAGATCTAAAGGAGCTAAGGAATTTCGTGACAGTCATACAGACAGAACCACAGACGAAGCGCTTTATAGTAAGAGGATGTTGTGTAAGTTGTGTCTAGTGAGTTATAAATTATGTATTCCACGCTTTGAAGGAAGTTCGAAACGTTTTGAGTGTTTTCTATTTCGAGATAATGCAGTCAAACATTAGGGGTACCCATTTCAAGCACTTTTGCAGAAAAATGAGTTCACCATTAGTCGACATAGTTCTTGGCATCGAACGTCGATCTTGTTTTAAGATGGGTCCCTCATTCTACTTCCATTCAAGATCAATGTTAATAGTCCAAAATTTACAAATTTTGACAAGCTCTTGTTCGAGATAATGTCCTGCTCTCATACCCGTTCCGTGATGAGTCCTAGTCCATTTACTTTAATCGGTACCTTCAATTATCCCAGCTGCCTTTGTAAGCAATATGTACACACATACGCCTACAGCAAAAGGAATGAATAATCGAGGGTAGTATGGAGGAACACGACGGTAGCAAAAACTATAACAGAAAAGATTTTTTTTCAGACATATTATATGCTCAATTAAAGAGATAGAGATGCAGTTAGAGCAGCAAAAGTTTTTGTCAAAAGGTCTGATCTGAATTACATTCTTCGGGGACAGTCATGTTTTGCTAGACCCTTTGTCAATCAGTCCTCGTTCAACACAGGAGACGTTCATGCATAAATAATCATAATCCGTAATCCTGCTCAAAAATAAAAGCTTCTACAGCTGAAAGGACGTGTGAGGCATGAGCAATAATGGATGATGTAGTAGCAAACACCTGCGTAGTCCATTGATCGATCAATGAAGCAGGTTGCTTCCTGGTGAAATTTCAATCCCTAAAAATTTGCTGACCTTTTAGTAGATATACTGGATGAATGACGACGTCACCTGCACATCGGAGAGCCATGTCAGAGAGTCACTCGAAGTGAGGACCCTCCCAAATTGCATGGTGGCGAGTGTGAATAAGCGTGGGAAAGAGAATCGAGAATAAAAAACTATAAGCCTAGTGTCTATTTCCCTTCAATAATGTTGTCAAAGCTATTTGACCAGTAGAGGCCACAGATATCTACAAGATCAAGCATTTGAGTCTTGAAGTTGCTCGATCAGAAGAACCAAGCGAGTGCAGTGGCTAAATATTCGTGAGCTGCAAATTTGCAATTAGCAATAAATGTGGTTTTTCTCATACAAGCGAAGAAATGGCTTGTGTAATTTTTTTGACTACTTAAAAACGTTGACAATAGAATTACACAATTGTGGGCTGGCGGTCATCCAAAATGGGAAGCTTCTTTCTAGTGATGGAACGCTCATATTTTGCCTCGATATTGGTATTAATGTGGGGGGGGGGGGGGCTGATGTTTCTCCAGCCCTTCTAAATCAAATACCATACAACATCCATGAAAGAGAGCATGTGCGTATAAATGAGGAGCCGTTCCAGCTCCCGCACTTCTACAGCTTTTGCAATTATCCTTTTATTTCATTTCCTTACCAGTGATCTACTTAATCAGCACTTCCCAATTGAACGCCATTGCAAAGAATTTTGAAAACCAACACTAGCTTAAGTATCACTGAATATAGCTAGCACGTACCATGTATTTGGGCAAAACGTTGGATGATGAACATCTCCGGAGAAACCATCTTGTTTTGCTACATCCAAAATAACAGCTGAAATGCATAATCCAATCCAGTGTGACTTCAGATATCTTTGTTCGGTGTGATTGGGATAAAAAAGCCAATATGCGCGATGAAAGCATGAACGCCAAGAAGGTACTCTCGCCTATCTGTGAATGTAGTTACATTCCCTAGCTTGATGGTCCTTGAGAGGAAGAATCTATCGTCCAATGGCTTTTCTTTTCTGCAGCGTTTCCACTCTTGATGAACGTCGTTATCTCTCGCTATCGCTTGAAGTTAGCACAGAAGATTACTTCCAAGAACTGAGATTTTGGAAGGCTTTCAAGATAGTGCCTCATTTTGAAGGGGGAGGAAGACCTCAACGCGTGATTCTAACTTCGAAGCTACATCTATTCCATGAGTGGTGAGCACAAAGAACTCTAAGTTGAGTCCATTAAAAGTGGGTTGACACGACTAAGTTGATCGTATTCTAAAATACTTCACTTATCGCAGTATAGCGATTGAATCATCTCTCACACTGTTGAGAAATCTTCAGGATGAGGTTAATTATACTTATACTGGTCTTTACTGCTACATTAAACGACTACAGCAGCGCTAATACCAGAAAGGAAGAGGTTTCGTTTCCATCAAATCATTTTGAATTCATTTTTTTAAATTCTATGTCTACTTGGTGGCTTGAGTCGTCTGATTCTTTTTGATATTTTAGCTCATTGACAAAACGGAAATGGAGATTATCGAGAGGATCAGAGACATGGGTGATGAAGCACTTCAAACGTTCCACCTCTCACCCGAGGCAATGGAAAAGTTGGAAGAATTTAGGGTATCCATTTTTCGTTATATTTCTTAATCCACTTGGAAGACGCGGTGTGTATAGATCGCGAGTGGACACAGTGAATATAAATAAAGAGAAATAAAAGACTCGTACTAATTTTCACTATAATATCGGCCAATGGCAAACCTATTGAAGCTCCTGTGCTTCCTCCAGCTAGAGATAAAGTTTAAGATCGAAGGCAGAATTGAAAGCGTAACATGAGAAATAAGTTTTAGCAATACTTGTTGACAAATGCGTATTTTAATTTGAACCCAAACAATTTTTGTCTTATTTTTATTTCATACTATCAATTATACATGGCATTTTACCATGGGAGTACTTACTATGTAGCGCCTCAATAAGGTTGGAGTATATAGCTCTGAAAAATGTGCTCTTCATGAAAGGTATCGATCGACCCTTTTTCCAGCAACTGCCAACAATGGAGCTCGATCACTTGAATCCACAGGGAGACTACATTGACGAGATCAACAAAAAAGACAAAGTAGACGAGAAGCTTTTTCAGGGTGATATCTACCTTACTAAGTGGGTTTTTATGAGAACAAGCTCTTATGCAACGCAAGGTGTATACTTGAGGGAGCAAGGCAAGATCATCATCAGCGAACTTGAAGAGGAATTAGAAGGTACCAACCGGAGAAAACGTCAGGCGTTCAGAGACAAAGAGGGCGTGAGGCTGTGGAAAAATCATACTGTGCCCTACTTTTTCAATGAGAGTCTAAGTGAGATGAAAGTATATTGCCGCTGACAAAGTAAAATAGTTGGTCGAGTAACGAAAGGAGTTGCAGATGAAAAAGGCAGGAGGGCCTTTTTGAGAGCAGCTGAGATGTGGACAAAAGACACATGTATAGAATTCAGAGAAGATGTCAACGAGACAGGTGAGCGAGACAGCGCATTTGGGTAAAATTCTTCGAAATAAGCGAAAATTGTCTAAGGTAGTCAATACATCCATATCTTATGTACCATAAAATAGACACATCGTGAACACTAGTTGGTAAACCGATAACACTTTTACCCTCCCACTTTAAAGCCCACAGTAGGTGTATGCCGCAATCTATAATCTTTATATTGCTTTCTTTTCTGCAAATCTCCAAAGTGGTAGCGATGAGGTTGCACTGCTCATTTTTGTACTCATGACTACCAGAATTGAGCCTCAAGCATTGCTTTTGCAGCTCAAGAAGTCCTAGAAGTGGAGGCAGGGGAAGGATGTTGGTCGAACCTGGGAAAAATAGGAGAATGGCAATTCATATCTCTAGCAGCTGGATGTGAAACCACCTCTATCGCCGCTCACGAAATCGGTCATATTCTCGGATTTTACCACACTATGTCGAGGCACGATCGCGATAAATACATCATAGTAGACTTAGATAACATTAAGGTACAATTAAGTAAGAAAATGTGCAGCCTACAGCATTAGTAATAATTACATTCCTTCGCTATCAGAAGGAGTGGCATAGTGAATTTGTTTGGCGGACAGAAGAAGAAAATGATAACTTTGGACTGGACTACGACTACGGTAGCATTATGCACTACCGCGCATCCGAGTTAGTTTGGATATTTTTCGATGTCAATTTCACGTTTTCCCAATTTGCTTGTATAAAAGATTTCGAGTGGTCATTTCACGAAATGTTATGGTTTCATTGTTTTCTTGCAATGCTACAATGACAATGATAAGTCTGTAAACGTATCCAGTCTTCGCATTCTTTTCAAAAGCTTACTCACAGTTTCGATTATAATGGCTTGTTTTAAAGTAATCTTTGTTCTCATGATAACTATTGACAGTGGTGCGGTTAACCCCAAAAGACCAACGCTGATCCCATTGGACAAGTACTATCGACAGACTCTTGGATCGCCATTCGTCTCTTTTATTGACGTCTTAATGCTGAACAAGCTTTATGGATGCGATCGTGAGTTGCAAAAATCGGCCACTTCGGGCGAAGTTGGGCGTGATGGTTTTCATTGAGCCACTATATAAACATAACTCTTTTTTTTTCTTCAAAAGCGCTCGCTTCTTTGAATGTTGCCTTAGAAGAAAAGAATGTGAGTGCTTTCAAAAGCAATATCTTCCAGACTGGTTTCACTGCAATTATTTATAGGCATGTGTGAACGGAATAGAAAGGGACAAAAAGAGACTATAAATGTGAAATGTCAAAATGGTGGGTATCTTCATCCACTCAATTGCTCCATGTGCGTCTGTCCTGATGGATATGCTGGAACTCGATGCGATGAGAGGGTGCGGGAACATTTTCCAACTGGATCACCATATTGAGTCTTATATTTAGCCCAAAGGAAGCCCTGTGGACTGCGGCGACACATTTAATGCATCAAAAGAGTGGAAAAACTTTACCGATCGTCTAGGAGATGGTTATGTTGATCATTTAAAGGAGAACTACACCAAATGTTTTTATTGGATTCAAGTGGGCATCGTATTTCTAGCTACTGTTGCAAGTGATAAAGGGAAATCGAACCCCATAAGCGCCTCCTTTTCAGTCCCCGGCAAACACTGAAATTGAAGTGGAGATTGTGAACTTTTCTCGATACCATGCTTTCGAAGGCTGCCCAAACGCTGGGGTAGAAATCAAGACAAACATGAACCAGCAGCTAACTGGTTACAGGTACAAATTTTTTAGCGAAATAAAGGCATGTGACATTGTGCCAATGCTACATTTTCCCGTTGAACATTCAACGAACACTTTTGATTTTGTGCTCAGATTCTGTTCTAAAAGCGCAGCTGGAATCAAACTTCGCTCTTACACTAATCGAGTCCCCATAATAACATGGAACAGGTTCAATGTTTCAAGCACTACTTTGCGATACCGACATGGTAAAGCGATGTTGAGCTATGCGTAAACCAGTTGGAGTCAGAATGAACTGATTCAGTTTCGAAAAACGAGCCTCGTCCAACTACAGTGAGGCCGCAGACTCGCACAGTCCCTCGCCTTTCATCTTCGCAAGAACAGATTAAGTGTGAGGACCAGCCAAGGTGAGGAAAGAGATTGTTCTACAAGGTTCGATTAAGGCGTGTTTACAGTTTTTTTAGGTGTAAGGCTCTAATTGCGAAAGGGTTCTGTAACCTTGTCCGGTATGTAGATAAGCTGGCTTACTGTCCTCGAGGGTGTAATGTATGCAGCTCTGGCAAAAACTGATTTTCTTCTTGAATAAAGGTGATTTTCGATCATGGTTTTTCTATGCAAATTCTGCTAGAGTTGCAAAAATTCTGCTATAACTTGTATATGTACTTATCGTGCAAATCTTCATTGTGGGTGACTCGGAACACGGATAGAGTACAGTTTAGCATATTAGAGTATATACATATATTACATTATATCATAGTAAATACATAGCAATAGAGCACACTATGCACACATAGCTTTTATTTATATATCCTGCGATTTTGCAGCTGGACCATGCGTTATGTAGCGGCACTACGACACTCACAGGCGTTTTATGTTAACGTTATTCATGTTCAACAGGGAGTAGTTGAGCCAATCCATCTAAAATATCGATTCAGACGATCTGGATCAATAAATTCCCGCGGATATCCCAGGAACGAAAAGGTCCGAAAGTGTCAAAGCGGCTTCAGACCTTGGAAATCTCTAAGACATCCTTATGCAAATGACTGCACCTTGGCCCGACTGACCTGTTGTACATAGCAGTGTCGTTCTAATATGTAAAGGTATCACTCCTTAGGGAGATTAAACCCTACTTATTTTTGCCATGATCATCACCGCGTGTGGAATCACAAAATATTTGACGTTAGGTACATGAATAATTTGTTAGTCACAGCCGTCCGTAAGAAACTATTCACTCCAGCACCTCTCAATAACTCATAGTCTGGAGCCCTTCTGACAGCTCAATGAGTTGAGCATTTCCAGCTAATCCTGCGCCTACCGATGCTCTGTGTAGAGATACACAGTTGCTGGATGTCCGAACTGATTTGGTGGTGGTTCAGTGGTTCAGTGATATAGCGTATGTAGCGAAGAACGTCGTAGTTGATAACTTTATTGATGCCAACGCCGATCCAATGAGATGAAAAATGAAGCAAAGGATGAAAGTGAACCCTACTGCCTAAGAGGGTTCTTATACCATGATTGTTTTGGTGCGTTATCAAAACAACCCTAGATCACTTATCACAAGCAACACAATAGAATGAAGTACGATTCATAAACATCTTTCGGTCTAATATCGATGATCGATGAATCGATATACTCCGGGCCCACACGTAGTTGATCCTCGATGAATTTCCTTTGGTTATGTCGTCGTCGTTTGCCGTCGAACTAGAAAAACGATTGCTCGCGTTCTGCTTGGACACTTGTTCGTCTCCGTCCAACTCGAGTGGTACGAGTAGGTTGATTGGGCGTCGCGTCGTGCGTTTGTTTGTTAGTAACAGTTCGACTTCCCGTGTAACGCCCTCTTTGTTGGGTTGAACTTTCGTGATGCGGCCAATTTTCCAACTGTTTCTGGGAAGGTTGGGATCCATCAAAAGAACAACTGTTCCTTCCGTGAAAATCTTCGCTGTGCCATGATTGTTGGCGAGGTATCGAGTGTGCTGCTCCCTCAGGGCGGTGAGATACTGTTCTCTCCAGATCTCCCAGAACTGTTCTGTTAGGTGGTATGAGCTTCGTAGCGCTTCCTCTGCTTGTTGTCTGGTGCGTAACTGGAGAGCGTCTTCTGATGGATGGTAGGTGGGATCGTCTGTAGATTCAAGTCCATCCATCGGGTGTGTGATGACAAGGTCACGCTGTATGAAATCGATCGGCCGAAGTATTGGGCGACCATCCCAATGTTCCTCTTGATACGTTAAAGGACGTGCATTCAGCGTCCCTTCTATTTCTGTTAGCAGTGTCGTGAGCTGTTCCAAGGTGAGGACTGTTTTTCCGATGGTTTTGTATAGGGAATGTTTTATGGTCTTGATGAGCCTCTCATAGAACGCTCCCTGCCACGGAGCGTAAGGGGTAAGCATCTGCCAAGTGATCCTTTTGGTTGTCATCGTTGCTGATAACGTTGAGGTTTGTGCTAATAGAGAAGCAGCTCTGCGGAGGATCCGATCTCCAAGCGAGAAGTACGGAGCGTTGTCGGACGTGATTGTTTCCAGTACTCCTCGGCGAGCGAAAAAGCGGCGAAGTGCATCAAGAAGTTGCACAGTTGACATGTCAGGCACACATTCCAGATGGATCAGTCGAGTCACTGTACATGTGACGATGATCCCGTAAGCCTTCGACTTTTCTTCACCGGTTTTGATCGCAATTGGTCCGAAATAGTCGATTCCGACGTGCTGGAACGGTCGACTTTTTGTGACACGTCGTGATGGTAAGTTGGGCAAAGCTGGATATCGATACGGTAGGTTGTTCATCCGTTGACATGGTACGCAACGTCGTATGACTTTCTGGACTTGTCGTCTTAGCTGTGGAATCCAGTAACGACTTCGTACCTCAGCCATAGTATGGGCTGTTCCCAAATGAAAACGTTTGTGGGCATTTTGAATAACGAGCGTTGCTAGTGGTGTTTGCGGTCCCAAAAGTATGGGCTGTTTACTACCTTCGGACAAGTCAGAATTCAGTAGACGTCCTCTACATCTAAGAATTCCATCTGAATCTGAGACTGGCACTAGGCGCTCTTTGCTCGGACTGGTCTTTCTTTCCACATGTAAACGCTGGTGGTTACGTATGAGCAACAGAAGAGCTTGCTGGCGCTCTGAAACAGTAGTGAATTCATCGCTGTAGCTCGCGCAGTTGCGGATTTCTTTCCAGGATAGAGTCCCTCAGGTCGGGATTGAGTCGAGTGATGATTCGACTGAGCCACCTCAGGGCATATGAAAATGCAGTTGTTGCTTGTGCAACCGAGGAGAAGCGTTTCCAGTCTACAATTTCCTGCACTGGATTCTGTTGAGGAGTGGTGGCTGTATGTGTTGTCTTGGCATGTAAGGTTGAAGGACGTGGACGAATGAGTAGAGGTGGGGACGGGGGTGGGGATGGAGGTGGATTTGGATGTGGAATCGAAGGTGGTAGGGTCGAAGCTGGTGTTGGAAAAAGAGCTGCAGGTGGGGTCGGATGAGGGTGTTGGGTTGGGAGCATGTGTGACACCAACGTTTCTGCGGACGAGCCTGGTCTCCGACACTGCAACTCCTATGTTGCCGGCCATTGGTTCTGACCGCAGATAAGAAATTGAGGACCGTTCCACCACAGATGTGATGTGAAATTTTCTTTCGTGAGTTCGCGAGTCGCACTATCGGCAGGGTTAATACTCGTGTTGATGTAACCGAATCTGACCATGATTCCATCTCTTTTCATGTCATCACTGATGGTACGTATCTCTCTGCACCGATTTCGAACCAAAACTCCGGCTTTGCAGTCCTCTTTAGATGTTGATAACCATGCAAGCGCTATTTCGGAGTCAGAATAGACGGTGACTGATTGAATATGGAGCTGTCGTTGTAGAGCTCGTAGGGTTGTAGATACGAGACGAGTTGCCATTGTTAACGCGTTCATCTCGAGTTTCGGTATTGTAGGCTTCCCCTTGATTGAAGAAAGTTTTGATTTGGCAATGATGAGCTCCGAACGACCATTGTGCACCAAATATACGCAAGTTGCCATAGCTTGCTTGCTTGCNTGAAACAGTAGTGAATTCATCGCTGTAGCGCTCGCGCAGTTGCGGAATTCTTTCCA